TATAAAAAGGAGTTTCTACTTAGAAACTTGAAGAATTGTTATAAAATTAGAAATACTGTGCCTAAAGCACCTGGAACTTTACAAGTGATAATCATTCTACTAAAAATATAATGATTTTAATGCTCAAGATAATCTGAAGAGAGTAAGTTCTGTAAACCCAGTGGTATACTAAAGCCAGCTCTCAAGGGCTTGTGAGAGCTGACTACCTGCATCTTTTCCAAAATCCAAGCTTAGTGACATAGTGTTGCCTTGATATGGGCCATGGTAGCAGTATTTACACCATGGAAATTGGCAAATGTACAGATCAGGGCTTTTTTCTTGGAGAGCTGGTGATTAAACACTTGACAGCATACTTCTGGGGGAAAAAAAGTCACAATGTTAGCAAAGAGCCAGAGCCCCAAAATATACACCTAACTTGGCTTTTTCTTTTATTTCTAGGATTTGCATCCATAACCAAACTAGGATTCTGCCATCCCGATATTTTGCCCATAGATCACAAAGTATTGCATAAATACTATCTCATTAATCCTCACAGCACCCCAGGGGGAGCAAGAGAGGTTAAGTGACTTGCCCGAGGCATGACAGAAAATCAATGGCAAAAAGCAGAACGTAGCCAGTCTGTGCTAACCACCTCTGCCAGCCTTCCTCCACATCCGTGCTGTGCTCACTGGCATTAAACACGTAAGTAGCAATTACCAACAGAGCCTTGCTTAACCTCATAACCCAAATCGCCAAAAGTCTCATTCTAAAGACTATGGTCCAAACGTCTGTCCTTGAGTACAGATTTGACTCCCCAGAATGGCCCACAACTCTCCACCTGGAGATTTTCCCCCAGGATTGCTGATGGTCGTTTATTAATCAACTTCCTCCACATTCTTTCTCCTTCAAGTCCAATGGCATGTATTTGAAAAAAACGGCTGGCCACAATTAGGTTTCTGTTCTAACAGACGCAGGTAGCATCATAACCAATCATCATGGGTTCTCACATCCTAGAGTAATCCCCGCTACCCCTTGAATGTGGGGTGTGGGCAGACCTAGTGAGTTGCTTCTAATGAATAGAATATGAAAAAAGTGACAAGATGTCACTTCCAAGACTACAGCAAGACTGTGACTTAATTGCCATCTTCTGTGTTTTTTCTGTCTGTCTGTCTGTCTCTCTCTCTCAGCACTTGGTCTAGGAGAGCAAGGTGCCATGTTATAAGTGGCCTTATAAGAGGCCCATTGGCAAGGAACTGATGTCTTCGGCCAACGGCTAGAGAAGCTGAGGCCTGCCAACAGCCCTGTAATGACCTTGGAAATGGATACTCTGAGACCTGCCAATAGCCACATGAGTGAGTTTGGAAGTGGATCCTTCTCCACTTGAACCCTGAGGTAACTACAGCCCCAACCAACACCCAGGTTGCAGTTTCCTGAGCAACGCAAGCCAGGGGACCCGGCGAAGCTTCATCTAGATTCCCAACATACAGAAACTACGATATATTAAATGCCGGTTGTTCTAAGCTGCTAATTTTGGAGGGTGATATGTTATACAACAACAGATAACCAATGAAGCCTTAAGCTATAAGAGAAATGGTCAAAGGGTTTGAATGACATAAATCACCTCTGCTGGGTGGGGCCTAGCACACCTATCAGCCCTTCAGCACGGCCCTGCTCTTATTCAATCCAGACATCTCGAACTTTCCTGACACTGGAGAGTCTGCTTAGGCGTAAGAATGTTCCCATTCTGGGAACTATCCAACACCCCAAACTAAAATGAAAGGAATTCAATGGCATCCTGGCAAATTGAAATTCCAAGTCTTTAATGTTATAAAGTCTGGTAAAAGAGAGGCCAAAAGGGGGAGGTGTATGCTAAAAGCTGCCCTTTCTCGTCTTGCATGAGTAATTCTTGCAGCTGGAGTTTTCACTATAACCACAGGATTGTGGCACCACGAAGGTGGCCATTTTCAAATCTGGCCTGACATCAGAATGTCATTCAACTAGATAAACCTGGGACTTGGCCAAAATAAGTAGCATTTAAATAACTGCAGCCAATGAACACCATCACTTTTCTGTGAGACCATATGACTATGATGTGAAGAAATAAAAGCCTTTGTTATTTTAAAGGGCAGGGACAATTGGAAGTTTTGCAGCAGACAGTTACAAAATTTTCCACCCTTAGCTCTCCAAAGAAGATACAGTTAGTGGCTTTGGGAGTTGGGGGTGGAAAGAATTGCTTGGAAAATAAAATTAAATTGAACATGGGCAGAAAGTGAACCAGCATTACTACATTTATCATAGAGCCTGAAACAGACTACTTAGCCCCCTACGTTGTGAACTCGCTTTAATGATCTACTCCGTTTTACTACTTAGCTTCTTGAAATCATAGCATTCTGGATCAGGCAAGGCATAGAAGGCTACCACATTCCTCTCACAAAGAGCAAATTTTTATTTTTCAGAATAATTTTTGAATGGGTTTTAAAAAACCCATTCAAAAAACAAAACACTCCCCAAAATTAGACTTTGCTTTTATGCTTTTTGCATTTGTCCGCCTGGGACAGGGCAACAGGTCTCAGGCCTCACATCTGTGATGCTTTCCATCTGGGGTGGGATTTCTGCATCTGATGCATAGACTGTTTTAAAAATATTTCATTCACCCTTGTATTTTCTTAAAGGGTTCTCCTTTTTTCTTTCTAAATAATTATCCCTATTACCTATCATCAGCGAGCTCTCCGGGGCTATAATCTGGGGAGTAAAAGCTCATCAACTAAACTGGTTGTAGCTGTATTTGAGACACAGTATTTTACCCTGTCGGTTTTCATTTTATTTGATGACAGTGCTTGCAATTTCTCCCTCAATAAGCAAAGATGACTTAGATCAGTGGCCTGATGAATAAGCATGAAAATTTGATTTAGAAAAGGAGGATATCCAGAAGCTCACTGAGAGAAAAAAGGATTTCCAACCCCCTACCACACACACTTTAAATGACAAAGCAAAGCAGCAGCATTGTCTTTAAACAACATCTTTCAAGTCAATATCAATGCTCCCCCATGTTAGGTAGTAAGAATAATAATTTAGAAAGAAAAAGAGGAGCCTTTAAAAATATATAAGGAAGGAATAAAATATTTTTAAATCAAATGTCATTAATCCTTTGTATTACCTTGGAGCAGATAACCTAAAAGAAAACAAATAAGGTCCTGGGTGTGAGGGGGAAACTGATGCTTTGGAAGAAACTGTTGAGGGGCGTTGGGAGAACGTGAGCAGTCTGACACCCTACCTTGGCCCACAAAATTCAGCCCTCTAGGTCCATTAACAAGAGTGGGAAAGGACAAAGAACTGTGAAATTGAAGGTAAGATGCCCAGTAAACTTCAGTAATAGAAAATAAATAAAAGAAAAACAGAGGAAGGCCAAAGTCTCCCATGAAAGGGAACCCAATGCATTTGTCTGCGATTTCAGAACCAGTTTTTTTCTTGCTGGAGAAGCAGCTCCCCGGGGACAGCAGAGACAGCAACTTCTGCAAACACACAACCTGACCAGAAACCCCTCGGGGTCCAGAGCCTGGAGCTAAGACTGGCAGAAGGAAGGGCTCGGCCAGGAGTAACGTTTTCTCAAGCATAGTATTTGTGCGCGCGCGCGTGTGTGTGACAGAGACACAGTGAGAGACAGATTTAGCCTTTCTCAAACTGTCACTTCCCCTGCATGGGAATTCATGATATTCTTTGCTGCCCAGAGAGAGGGGAGAGGCCCCCCGGTCAATTCTGACCTCCCCGGGAGTAACCCGAGAGCTCACGGGAGCGCCCAGTGTCGTGAGCCGGGCGAAGATTTGGCCGGGAACAAAAGACCGCTTGCCAATCAGAAAACGCCGCTGGAGAACGCGGATAACCTCTCTTTGTGTTTTGAAAACTTCTTAATTAGCAAACGCCCTGCTTTGTAATACGCATTAAAACTTCTCTATGCAACATTTCAACTACAGGATCAAGTCGTTGCTTCTGCAACGAAGAGGGGAGCCCGAAAGGCCGCACGCCCAAGAACCAAGGAAAGCACCGCAGTCGAAGACGCACTTTAAACCGTGCAGAGTTCCTGGGCGCGCGGCCTCAGGTACATCCGTAACTGCCCCCCACCCCCGTCGTAGCTTTCCCGTAACCGCTCTAAAGCCGCACCAGAGTTCCAGACTCTGGGCCGTGCGCGCGGGCGGGGTGGCCTGGGGGACCGCTGCCCGGCCCTCTCCCCTCGGAGGGGTCTGCACTTCCTCCCGCCTTAAGTCGACCCCCTCCTCCCGACTCCAGTTTCTCCTCCGACGCGGGCCCCTCCTCCTTCCTACACCCGGAGAGGGGGTGAAAGGGACTGCGGCCTCACGTGGTCTGTTTGGGTCAGGGGAGAAAAAAGCGATCTGAGAGGCGCACCCCCTTCTCGCTCGGTACCGAACCCCACATTTAGGATCCAGCTACCCTGAAGCCCCCTGCCAAACCCGGCATTGTCAGCCCAGGCAGGGCTAACGTGACTCCAGGTCACGTCTCTCCGCCCGGGCGCTGCGCTGTTCTTCCAGCAAAATCCCCTCTCGCTGCGCCCTGCCGTTCGAGATGTGTGTTTTAGTGTACCCGGAAGAGGAGCAAACCTTTAAAGCAAATTCCCTCTCTGGTGCGTTCACCCCCCACCCCCACCCCTCGAGCGAATTCACCGTAAAAGTTTTTCTTAACTTTTCCGTCCCAGCCCCCTGCCCCTCCCCTCAGGAATCCGCCCAGAGCGCTGCAGACTCCGCCCCTCCGGGTCCCTCGCCCGGCCCTTCCGACTTCCACCCAATCCGGAGGCCGCCACACAGAAAACAAAGGCTGCCATTGGGCCGCCCCGGAGCTCGAGGGCCCGCCCCCGGAGCGGTTTGTGAATGGGGGGAGGGGAGGGGGCGGGGCGGCCCGGAACCCTGTGAGCCCGACGCTTCTTCTGGCGAGTTGCGCGACTCCGAGGCGTTACTCTGCGCTCCCTCCCGGCGGGCGGTGGCGGCGGGCGCCGGGGCTCACGGGCCGGGGCTTACGGGCCGGGGCTTCGCGAGGCTGGAGAAGCCAGGCCCAGGCCGCGGGCACCGGGCCCTTGCAGCTTCGGACGCAGTGTAACTGGATTTCCGAAAAGAACTCACTGGGCTGCTGGCTCCAAGGCGCCGATCGGACTCCAAGCGAGAATCACCCGTTTGGCAGAAACTTGGGGGCCGAGCTTTTGGGGCTGAGGAAGGAGCCGAGGAGTAGAAAAGGAGGAGAAGGAGGAGGCGGCGGCGGCGGCGAGCAGAGCCTCGAGGCGAGGAGGCGGAGCAGCACGGCCGAGGCGGCGGCCTCGGCTAGCAGGCGGCGGCGCCGGGCTCTAGCCTGCCGGGGGCCGGACTCGGTGTGGGGGCGCGTGCGTTACTGCGCGCCGTGGGTCGACAGACTTTGGGCAAACTTTGAAGGGTAACCGGAGACGCTTGTTGCTCCTCGCCGCAGAAAAAGCCGCACCGTTACGTCGCAGCGGGAGAATAAAGCGGCCCCACTCGGCGCCCCCGGCCCAGGCAGACGGGTTTGGGCCCCCAGCGGCTGCTCGAGGGCTGGGCGGAGACGGCTGCGGCGCCCCCGCGGCGCGGGCACCCCAGCTGCAGCGCCCTCGGCTCCGCGCCGCCCACGGCCCGGCCTCGGCGCCGGGAGGACTCTCATGCGCGGGGCGCGGCTGCGCCTCCTCGGATCCGAGCCTCTCCCGGCTGCCTCTTCGCGCTCCACGGGCTGAGAGCGCCGCTGCACCCGCGGCCGGCGATGCGGGGCCCCGGCGCGGCCGCGTCGCGCTCGCCCCTGGGCCTGTGCACCCTGGTGCTTGCGCTGCTGGGCGCGCTGCCCGCCGGCGCCGGGGCGCAGCCTTATCACGGCGAGAAGGGCATCTCAGTGCCGGACCACGGCTTCTGCCAGCCCATCTCCATCCCGCTGTGCACGGACATTGCCTACAACCAGACCATCCTGCCCAACCTGCTAGGCCACACGAATCAAGAGGACGCGGGCCTCGAGGTGCACCAGTTCTACCCGCTGGTGAAGGTGCAGTGTTCTCCCGAACTACGCTTCTTCCTGTGCTCCATGTACGCACCCGTGTGCACAGTGCTGGATCAGGCCATCCCGCCGTGCCGCTCTCTGTGCGAGCGTGCCCGCCAGGGCTGTGAAGCGCTCATGAACAAGTTCGGCTTCCAGTGGCCCGAGCGGCTGCGCTGCGAGAACTTCCCCGTGCACGGCGCCGGCGAGATCTGCGTGGGCCAGAACACGTCCGACGGCTCCGGGGGTCCAGGCGGCGGCCCCACAGCCTACCCCACCGCGCCCTATCTGCCGGATCTGCCCTACACCGCGTTGCCCCCGGGGGCCGCTGACGGCAGGGGCCGCTCTGCCTTCCCCTTCTCATGTCCCCGCCAGCTCAAGGTGCCCCCCTACCTGGGCTACCGCTTCCTGGGTGAGCGCGACTGCGGCGCCCCGTGCGAGCCAGGCCGTGCCAACGGCCTCATGTACTTTAAGGAGGAGGAGAGGCGCTTTGCCCGTCTCTGGGTGGGCGTGTGGTCAGTGCTGTGCTGCGCCTCGACGCTCTTCACCGTGCTCACCTATTTAGTGGACATGCGGCGCTTCAGCTATCCGGAGCGGCCCATCATCTTTCTGTCGGGCTGCTACTTCATGGTGGCCGTGGCGCACGTGGCCGGCTTCCTGCTGGAGGACCGCGCGGTGTGCGTGGAGCGCTTCTCAGACGATGGCTACCGCACGGTGGCGCAGGGCACCAAGAAGGAGGGTTGCACCATCCTCTTCATGGTGCTGTACTTCTTCGGCATGGCCAGTTCCATCTGGTGGGTCATCCTGTCGCTCACTTGGTTCCTGGCAGCCGGCATGAAGTGGGGCCATGAGGCCATCGAAGCCAACTCGCAGTACTTCCACCTGGCCGCGTGGGCCGTGCCCGCTGTCAAGACCATCACCATCCTGGCCATGGGCCAGGTGGATGGGGACCTGCTCAGTGGGGTGTGCTACGTGGGCCTGTCCAGCGTGGATGCCCTGCGGGGCTTCGTGCTGGCGCCTCTGTTCGTCTACCTCTTCATTGGCACGTCCTTCCTGCTGGCCGGCTTCGTGTCGCTCTTCCGCATCCGCACCATCATGAAGCACGACGGCACCAAGACCGAGAAGCTGGAGAAGCTCATGGTGCGCATCGGCGTCTTCAGCGTGCTCTACACCGTGCCGGCCACCATCGTCCTGGCCTGCTACTTCTACGAGCAGGCCTTCCGCGAGCACTGGGAGCGCACCTGGCTCATGCAGACGTGCAAGAGCTACGCGGTGCCCTGCCCGCCTGGCCACTTCCCGCCCATGAGCCCCGACTTCACTGTCTTCATGATCAAGTACCTGATGACCATGATCGTGGGCATCACCACCGGCTTCTGGATCTGGTCCGGCAAGACTCTGCAGTCGTGGCGCCGCTTCTACCACAGACTCAGCCACAGCAGCAAGGGGGAGACTGCGGTATGAGCCCCGGCCCCTCCCCCACCCTCCCTTCCCCCATCCCCTAGCAGGGGGAGAGGCGCGGGAAGGAGAGAACTGCCGGGGCGGGGGGGGGTGTCCTGTAACCTCCGCCCCCTCCAATGAGAAGTGACCTGGAAGAGAGATTATATTTGTAGATTTGGGGCCGGGGTGGGTTTGGAAAAGGAGGCCCGGGTGGAAAGACGGTTCGGATGAAAAGACTTAATGGCAAAGACTTGCAGGATGTTAATGATGGTGATGACGGTAACGATGATGTTAATCGTGTACGGTATGGGCCGACCTGGGCCTATCGCGATTGAGCCCAGCAGAGATGGCTCTGAGTTCTTCCCGGCTCCGGGGCCAAACTGGGACTGTGAGCGATGCCCCTGCTGCAAGACAAGTGGCCTGTCCTCACTCCTGTGAGGCCCGGGTGAAAGGTACAGCTTTGTCTGCGGCGGCGGCTTTGTTGGGAAAAGGGAGGACTCCCTGCGGTGTCCTTGTCAAGCGGTGGTCAAACCATAATCTCTTTTCACTGGGGCCAAACTGGAGCCCAGATGGGTTAATTTCCAGGGTCAGACATTACAGTCTCTCCTCCCCTGGCCCCTCCCGCCTGTTTTTCCTCTCCTAGTCCTTTCAAGTCTTGTAAAATAAGCATTTGGAAGTCTTGGGAGGCCTGCCTCCTAGAATCTTAATGTAAGGATGCAAAAGAAATGAAGATAACATTTCGAGAGGAGGCAAAGGAGATGGGTAGTAGGTATTTCTGCTACTTTTTTTTTTTTTTCCCCCCTCGGGAAGGCAGAAGGAAGAAGGTTTTATTTGGTTTAATACTCTGAAAAGAAGTGATGACTTGTTGCTTTTCAAAACAGGAGTGCATTTTTCCCCTGGTCTTTGTTGTAAGAGACAAAAGAGGAAACAAAGTGTCTCCCCTGTGGAAAGGCATAACTGTGAAGACAGCAACTTTCATAGGCAAAGTAGCACAAATCAGAGCTTTCCCTTTGGATGTTAATTTGGCTGAAATAAACATTCCTTTTTAAGGAAAAGTGAACGGCAGCACGCTTCCATACCCCCAATCAGTCAGAGGGTCTGACTTGGCTAAAGGAAACGCAAGGGGGTTTTGTTGTATTTGTTTAAAATAAATTTTAATTTAGAACACACGATCCTATCTACAGGCTCTGTGCAAATGTTCAGAGGAATTTCTTCCTTTATTATTTTTTATGAACCTGCCATTTAGGTTTTCTATTTTCTTCCAATTTGAATCCTTCAAGATAAAAGGAAAAGCATAATGCCCTCAGCCTCCATAATAAAGAAGGTAGATTTTTTAAAAAGTAAAGAACCATTTTGTCCTGTTTTCTTAGTTCCATAAATCCGTTTATAAGACCTCATGTGTGTGCTGACCCTGTCTTTGTGTGGCTGGGTGGGGAGGTGACCTACAGAAATGACAGTGAATGAAGCGGACAGTTCAAACCGTGGGTCCCATTTTTTAAGGAAAGTCATTAAAAGAAGGTAAACTTCAAAGTAATTCTGGAGTTCTTTGAAATGTGCTGCATGACTTAAATTTATTAATCTTAAATCATGTACTTTTTTTTCTATAATGGAACTGATTCCTTTGCATAATGCTCTAAAGCTGAGCAGAGAATCATGGGAGCTAACATTTCCTCCACCTTTGACATCACCCTCCAATCTTGCAACACTATCCTGTTTCTCAAAACAATTTTTAAATGCTGTTTTAAACAGTTTTTAAATCCTAGAGGGTACTGTCAGGAGTACAAGTTATTTTATATATGTAATGTTCAGTTGAGTGGAGCTGCTTTTTATATTAAAGTTAACATCAACCTTGTGTTTCTTAAACCTCCAAAAGGGTCTCATCTGTCAGATTTTAAAACTCCCACTACACAGTTTTTGGCATCTTTTGTGCTGTATCTCTTGCATGTGAAATTTGTAAAATAGAGACAAGTGCAGTATGTATATTTTGTAAATCTCCCATTTTTGTAAGAAAATATATATTGTATTTATACATTTTTACTTTTGGGTTTTTGTTTTGTTTTCGCCTTTCAAAGTCTACAAGGAAGCCTCACTTTATCACATGTACAGATCACAAAATAAATTTTTTTAATACAAAGCAAATGTTTACTCAGTTGACAATTCCTATGGATCTTTATGCCAAAGAACTTCGTGTTACGAAAAGAAGGTATGGAGGGGCACCATTGGATCTGTCCCTTATGTAGATGTTCTGTAGTACTGAGGTCTTCTCCTTGCCTTTTAAAATACTGTTTAATGGATACCTTATCCGTTCTTTAATTTCTTTTTTCTGGTGTTGCTGCTTCCCGCCTCCCACCACACTACCTTTCCCAAATGCCCAAGCCTTTTCATATCCTGCTTTGGGTAACTTTTGGAAGGGGCTAGAATAGGCATCTCTTTAATAAGAGAGATGCTATCCGATCCGTGTTTTTATCTCCCCTTCGGAGATGCAGCCCATATTTGAAAGAGGACCCGGAGATATTTTTGGTCTGCTTTCCTGGTGGTGTTTTCCTTGGGAAGACTTCAGTGAGTTTGTTTTGTCTGTGTGTGTTTCTTTTTTTAATTGATGTTTTTGTGTTCTAATGCACCTTACCTAATTTGTTCATTCTTTAATCCTTTGGCCTCACACGGCTGGGAAGTCAGTGGAGGGTTCTAAGGAACACCTAGGGCCCTCCGTTTGGAACCTTCTCGGCTGCAGCCTTCACTCTACCTTCTAGGTTAACCGAGCCAGAGGTCAAGTGATTCCCCGAGGTGGCAGTGACTCAGCAGCTCCGGCAGGAATAGACTCCAGCCTGACCCCACCGTGGCCTCGAGCCACTGAAGCTATTCTTTCTCTCTTTTCGGAGAGGCTAACTTTGGAATCAGATTAGACTGAGAAGCCTTCCTAGCCAGCCACTTTGATATTAAACAGTCCCTCAGGGAAATGATAAAGGCCTTCGAAATACTTCCAATTCCAAGCCTCACTTGGTGTCTCCCCCCCGCCCTGCCCGCCCTCGTCTCTCTCCTTTAATCCAGGTGCCTATTTCCTGGCATTTCCTAACAGTTGCTCCATTCTGGGGCGGCCCTCAAGACCCAGCAGCGGACTGGACGCTGCTGTTCCTCCTTCCCGGCTCCGGCTCTAAGCTTCTGCACTTCTAAAGCTCCACAGAAACAGTTCTGTTTTTGTTTTAATTAACAGGCCTGCTTGCAGGGCTGGTGTGCTTTGCAAACACGCGGGAGGAAGACCGCCACCAGCCCTCCCAACCTCCTGGGTTTTGAACATCACAATGGGTGTGAGCTCATCTCAACCTGTGAAGATTTTGGCATCAAGGAAGGAAAAACATAGTGACTTAAAGTCTCCCTAGGTTTATCCAGTTTTGACTCATAAAATGACACCTTTTCGGTGAAAGCATGCCTCTTTTAACACAACACTAATACCCGCCTGTTAAGGATGTTTGCTTTTAGAGTAGGTGGAAGGCTCCCAATGGGGTTTTCTGCTCACAAATTAACTGCTAAAGGCACTTAGACCCTTGTGTGGGGATTGCTGCGTGACTGTTCCTATAAATGTGTCCCCTTCCTCTCGTTGGAGCTGCCTCATCCTTTGGGGCACTCAAAGACAGAAGAGCTTGGTCTTTAGTGAGGGAACAAAGACTGTGTATGAATAAATTACTACCTGCTTTTTTGTAAGCAAAGATAAAGGTGTTCTGTTTAATTCCTTTCACATTGGGGTACATCTTTACACAGCTGATACTTAAGAATTTTAGAAGCTTAGTTTTTTTTTTAAGATTTTATTTATTTATTTGACAGAGATCATAAGTAGGCAGAGAGGCAGGCAGAGAGAGAGGGGGAAGCAGGCTCCCTGCTGAGCAGAGAGCCTGATGCAGGGCTCCATGTGGGGCTCCAGCCCAGGACCTGATCATGACCTGAGCCGAAGGCAGAGGCTTTAACCCACTGAGCCACCCAGGTGTCCTAGAAGCTGAGATTTTTAAAGAGGCACATCTTAGCAGAAAACGTGAGGGAGATTGTTTATGAAAGGGCATGTGTAGAGTTTAAGAAAAATATTGGCAGTAGTTTGGTGTTAATCCCTAGATAAGGAGCAGAAACACTTGTGAAAAGTTTCTATAGTTGATAAAACAGAATTATTTACACAATAACCCGATGCAACACCTAACCTTTTGGGGTAGGTATGTGAGAAATAAATCTCCTGTTGATGACATTTTGCCATTAAAGAAATTTTTAAGCATGCTTGATAAAAAAAAAAAAAAAAAGTTGTGATATTAGAAATTCTCTGGGTAGAACACCAGGAGTAGAGCAGCTGTAGGTTTGAGCCCTGTAATTATACTGGGAAATTCTCTTCTAAGTCTCTCATCTTTAATTTCACTGAAAAGGCAGGTGGCTATTTATAGAGGGTATATTTTTATGTATGTGTCTGTGGGTGGTGAATAAGAGTCTATAGGGCTCCAGGAAATCCTAGAAGGGACCACAAGCACACCAGTGTGGACTTCAACAACTCAGGTCTATTCCCTTTTTCTCTTATTTCACCCTTAGTGGCATTAAACCGACTTCATAAAACTTGCTTCTTCGACTGTTTCCTGCGTGTGACGGTTCTGACATCTGAATCTGTAATCCTCACGTTTACATAAAAACGAACTCGTTAAAAGGGAACCACAACGTGTCAAGTCTTTGGTGACCACCCATTGTACCTCTTATTCTCTCTGGTTAGAAAAAAAAAGTTCAGTCACACACACACACACACACACACACAGACACACACGAAGTTCAGTCACTTGGCCTTTTCTCATCAGTACAACAGTGGTAGAAAAAAAGGAAGTTTGCCCAGGATAGTAGTGGTTGACTCTAAGCGATCCAGTTCGAGAAGGACTCCTCAAGCAGTCACTGTATCAAAGGCACTCTGACAGGGACTGGATGGGAACAAAAAAGTGAGAAGGGCAATCCACCCGCAGTGATTCATGATGCAGTTCAGGGTGAGGACGGTGTCCCCCACGGAGGAACAAGCAACTAATTAGATTTCTAGACAGAAATTGACGTGTCATTTTAGAGGCCCGAGTGCTGTTTGGAATAATACTACTTAACATGTGGT